TTCTCATTTCCTCACAAGCATACAGCGGGGTTTCCAGAGGCTACACGACATTTGACAGGGTTTTCAGTGTGCACTTGTATATTCATGAGCTACGTTCATTAGCTGGGTTTTGTCTTAATTTTGAATAGAGCAAACATTCGTGAGATTAATGCCACCTGTTATACTCAGCACAATAACTTTGAGGGACTGTCAATATTGGTTAAGGGTGTAAAGAATTCCTGAGGCAGAGAGAGAAGGGGAGGGCACTGCTCTGCTTTCTTGCCATTGAATGCATGGTCTTCAGACCATCGGCACCCTAGAGCTTATCTTCAAGGCAAGAACTTGGCCCCCATGCCCCAGAAATGCCACATCAGAATTGGCTCTTCAGCAACATGCCTGGTGTTAGGGGATATTTGATCACACTGTGATCCCTGAGTTTGCATTTGTGTTAAATAAAATTAACCTTGGGTCAGGAGGCTGTGTCAGCAACTGGTTGACAGAAAGTAATCCTAGAGATAGGGAGACACAGGAAGCAGTAGGGTGGGGTTTAGAGTAGTGCAGATTTTTCTTGTTTGTCAAAGCGGAAGCATGGGTCTTTCGTGGATACCAGCAAGCAGAGAGGGTTAGCTAGTTGCTACTAGGCCTCTCTGGGCTCGGAGATTTTCACCCCAGCCTTTGAGTCTCCAGTCTTATTCATAACTAGAATGACAGAGATTTAGTTAAAGCTACCTTTAGCAGCAGCAACAGAGCCAGTGCCTGCGGGAGCAGAATTCTCAACAGGCAGTAGCCTGACCGCACTGCTAGAGAAGCAGACCACTCACTAACTGCAGAGTTGGGATTGCTGAGACAGCAGTAAAGGCACAGCTATGGTGCCAAAGTTAAAACAACACCCTGGGGTCTTCATGTGCATATCCACGTCTGGAAACCATTGGGCTGTACCACGAATGTACCAACAATTACTAATTTGATTGATCGGTTGATAATACAAGGATTAGTCATAAGAATTTCATTAATTTGTTTTGGCTAAAGTTACCATAGACACCATTATTCATTGTTGGATATGAACTGTCCTCACCACTCAGAGAACATATAGCATTAAAACTCAGAAAACTATCCACTGGGCTTCTAATACACTTCTGTATCCATTCCTTTATTGGGCACTCAGATGCGGCTGTGTGTTATTATCCCCAGCTTATTGATGAATACATTGAGGCTCAGTTCACAGAAGTTAAATGATTCACCCAAGGTGCTGTAGGTGGTAGAGCTAAGGTTGGCACTCCTGGGGTGGAAATTAGAACAAGGGAAACCCATCCAAGACTCACTACTGAAGCCCTGGCCCCCTTCATGTGTATGGAGCGGCTAGGGTCTTGTCAATGGTCTGTGGGGTGGAGATTGGGCATTCCCGACAAGCTCCCAGGGGAGAACAAGGCTGTCTGTAGTCCAGCCACACAGGCAGGTGTCAGGCCCCAGCGTGGTTGTCCAGTGACCAGAAAGTCCCAGCAGCAGCTACAAACCCAAGCAAAAGCTTAGTGCTATGTGTCGGCAGCTTCCAATGCCTTTTCAGCCCAGAGACTCACTCATTCACCCCCAGCTTCCTCCATGGCTCTCAGCATGGTGACATGACACTCACTGTACAACCAGAAGCCATTAGCTGTCACTCAGTCATGAAGCTCAAGTATGGCTTTCCTCATTCAGCCTAGACATGCAGGGTTCTGAGCCAGGCAGGACTCAGTAGGAAAAGCATAGACTTGTGCTCAAATTTTTGTTCTTTCTGACCAGATTGAGCAACCTTGAGCAAGCTGCTTAATCTTTCTAGAATACCAAGTCACATTGTGCTGTCACATTTTCCAGCCGCTGCTTTTTATTTTTTTTTTTTAAGGGATGAGATAAGCTAGCTTGGAGTGTATCTAGCAGTGAGGGACCAGTTACCACATTTAAACCTGGGTTCAGTCCCCCAGCACCCCCAAACAACAAAATAACAAAATGAGAGATGCACTTTAATTTTAATAACACTTTAACCAAGTATAACAAACATGTTATTGTTAAAACTTATAGAAATTAACAATGAGGTGTTCTGCATTCTTTTCTGTCATTCTGAGGTGTTTTGCAATCTTATTTGTCATTCTAAGCCATCTGAATGTGGTGCATATTTTACATTTACAGCATCCTCCAATGTGGACTAGCATGTACTAGGTAGCCGTATGCAGCCAGCAGCTACTGCAATGGACTATTAGAAGCAGAGAATAAAGCCCCCAGTAAGCATCATGGCTCTGTAGAGTGGGCTCACTCAGCCCTTCCCTCTGCCTGGTTTTCAATTACTATAAGGGCCAGCTGGCGGTTACTGTCACTCCTTGATGTGGGGGTTCCTTCTGTATGCTGTGAATACATGTTTGTCTTATTGGCTGAAAATAAAGCTGTTGCAGCCAATGGACAGGCAGGATGTAGTCAGGCAGGAAGTACAGGTGGGGGCTACCAGATGAGGAGGATGCTGGGAAGAGGGACACAGAGAGTGAGTTGCAGGGGAGACGCCATGCAACTGCAGAGAAAGCAAGAGGCCCAGGCATCACCGGTAAGCCGAGAGCATGTGAAGACACATAGAATAGAGATGGGTTAATAATTAAGAGAGAGCTAGCCAATAAGAAGCCTGAGCCATCAGCCAAACAGTTTGTAATTAATATTAGCTTCTGTGTGTTTATATGGAATTAAATGGCTGTGGGACCTGGCAGGACAGAAACTTCTGTCAACAACTCCACACCCCCAGATAAAAGACACCCAACCCCTTCTCACTAGTGGCAATGTCCATCTTCAATACTCATGCCAGGAGCACCAGGACCATTTTCCACAAAGCACTCTTCAAAGTTTGCCGGGGCAGGGGAAGAGTGGGAGCAGGGTGGGAAGTGAATGCCACAGTCCTTGGCATTCACAGCAGGCACAGAAACTCCATGCCCCTATGCCTCCTTCAGTGATGGAATGGATGTTTCTTTTATTACTGTCGCACACACACCACAGCGAAATAATACTGCCAAGCAAGTTCATCCGCAGCTGCACAGAACCATTAGGTGAAACCCTGATGAGGGACATTATAGGAGAGAGGCTGGACTGCAACAGCAATTCTGACCAGTTTGAAAACCACTAAAGGCAGAACAGCATGGCAACAGATACCCCTGAAGTGATTAAAAAACAAAAACAAGTACATAACTTCACCCAGGAAGGATGCTTGCCCTTTGCAATAGATGCCCACATGCACAGAGATCCTGGGCCTATTCAAATCTCCAAGCAACCATAGAGCTCCTTGACCCACAGAGAACATGATCCAAGACACCACGTGAATTCCTGAACCCCAGAGAGTATTATATGAGCCCTATAACTGAATGCCTTGTCCATCTTAACTAAGTACTAATCATGTACCAAGACTGTAACTTTCGTTGTTCTGGGGTGAAACAGTGAATGTAGCACAAATTCCTTCCTCCTTCACAGGGAGAAGGTTCATTCTTCTCATTCACAGGCTTAGCATTTAACACTCCCCTGAAGACTTAAGAAGAGAACTTTTGCTTGTTTACTTCAAGGAAACTACTAATGGGTTCTCTTTGGCATGTGTGAATTGCTGGTATTGTTATTATTGCACTTCTAGCCTGATAAGCATAATAATCAGGGTTAGTTGAACATGAGCAGAGCACTACCTACCAGTCTATCTGATGTGACAATTGCTAAGTAACAGACAGGCACCATATATAGGGCAGATACGCTGGGCAAGGGTAGTTGGTCGGTATTAGAACAAGGAATATTTGTGTCGTGTATAAAAATGCCTAATAGAGATACACACTGAGATTTATAATGAGTTGTATAGGATCTACTTTCAAATACTCCAGTGGGAAACAAGCACATAAACCAACAAACAGTAAGTAGGAAAAAAAAATGCACTTGGCAAAATGGTGGAAATACTGGTAATTGATGAAGATGGTAACAGCCTGATGAAACTGGACCATCTGGTAACTGGCGTGGCCAGACTGAGAACTGTGACTTTTATCATCAGTGGGATCATCTCAACTCACAGTGCCGTTAGCACCAGACTTCATGTAACAATCACTAGGAAGATGCTTTTATTACAGCTCAAGGTCTGATCCCAGACCTAATAACTGAACACAGGTCCTGGGTGCCTACTCTCAGTAGATACTTACTCTCTGTGGCGCTACTGACTGCACAACACTGGCTTATAGAAACTATCAGTGGACCCAAACCCACAGAACTCATGACTGACTTCTCACCCTTAGCAAGGGGAAGGTTCTACCTAGAGCTGATAGGAGCTACACCCTTGAACCCTCAAAAGCAGACTCTCAAGTGAAGAGCCAAGGACCCTCTCCACCCAGTTATACGAAGCCCTTGGATAGCTCCAAAGGTGGTCACAGAACTTTGCTGAACAAGTTCCTGGAGAATCAAATAGAACATCTGAAAGTAGGGTCTTTGTCAGCTCCCTTCCCCATCAGGAACTAGCCAGGGTTTCCTTTCTGCCCATCAGGGTCTCTCTGCCATTCCGGCCTCTAACTCCTTTCTTGTTCATTTCAGGGCCACATTCCTCTAAAGTTCATGCAGAATCCATTCAGGGGACAGCCACAGCCAGCCTGCTTCCCTAACCAGGTTCTACTCTCTCTGCCCAGGGAAACATGTCCCAAGACATGTGTCCTGATGCTGTCATTCTGGAAAAGCCCCAGGATCAGCAAGGCCAGAAACTCCTTTCATAATGGAGCCTTGGAACATTCTCCTCACCCTACACTCTCCCAAGCTGAAGCCCTTCGATGCGACCTCTGCTTCCTCTCCTCCCTCTTGCCAGCTCTGGACTTTCTAACCATGCACAGCCTGGCCACCCACCCTCCCCCCAGCATCTCCCTCAGAGCAGTCTCCAAGTAAGACCATAAGGAGTGTCTGTCCAAGTATGGAGGGAACTACAATCAACCCAGCGGGGAGTGATAGCTTGCCAGGCCTTGGCAACCTGAATGCCTCCCTCATGGCCTCTCTCCACTTACCCGTCCTCTGGTCCTGTTCTTGCGCTTGGGAATGTCCTCTTCCAAATCCTCCTCTTCATTCCCTTCTTCTACATTTTCATCATTTTCCAAAACCCTCTAAAATGACAAGAAAATCAAATACAAGACTTGAGAGATGAAACGCAGCGGCAAGAAACATCAAAGCTTGGTTGGGGGTATTCTGGGGTTCTGTTCTTCAACAAAGCGAGGGCGGGGCCGCCGACTACAAGTTGGAAGTCTCAGTGCAACCAATATTCTTTCAAGCCCTCAGGCCCCTCCCAACCAAATCTTGGCAGAATACTGACCGTCCTCTACTCTTTTTACCGCCACCCTGCCCCCACCAAAAAAGAGTTTATGACAAGAGTGTTTCCATTGGGGCCAAGTCACCTTATTAAATCTTACTGTCTTTAATATGACATGTTCTTTTATTCTAAAGAGCCACCTCAGCATTTACAAAGCCATTTCTGCTTTCTCTACCTTTGTGGAGCTCTTCCTGCTTGATGAAAGCAAGGAACTTCCTGTCTATGCTGCTCATAATAATTCACTGTAGGGTTGTTTTAAAGAAAAATACATTTTCGTCAGGGTGTTAGTGGGACAGGCCTGTAATCCCAGCACAGGAGGAGCAGGAGTTCAAGGCCACCCTCAGTCAAACGCATACATGAATTAATGAGTAAAAATGAACAAAAAGAGTATATAGTCTGTTTATCATTTAAGTAGTTTTGCAATGCAAAGTCAATAAGAACTTAAACTCAAGTGGTTCTGGGCTACTTTCAGCTTTATATAACCTAGACAGCGCAGTCCCATGCTGTGCACTGGTGGCCACACTGCCAACGCCAGGCCTGATGCAATGATGGTGATACAGTGACAACATGTATCCTGACCCAGAGCCACATGAAAGCAGCTCAGACTTGCTCCCAGCTTTACAGGAGAGAGGCTGTATGTCACTAGGTATCCAGGCTTCTGGGTACTGGCTCTGTATAAATCACTGAATCCGTCAAAGTACATTAGTGGAGCAAACATACTAACAGCAGGGCAGCGGGGTCATACAGAGATGACACACCTTGCTTCAAACTCAGCAACTCCAAACACAGGGACTAATGCATGACTAGCTAAACACACGGTGTCTGCTCTGGTTATGGGGGACCGAGAAAGGGTCGATGGGAAAGGTGGTGCTGGGACCTGGCCTAACCACTGAATGGAATTATTGTGGGTAGAAGAAAACCCAGCAGACCAGAGGCTCAGAGGGAGAAGGCCGAAGAAGAGAAGACACTGAGTCTGAATGCTAGCTCAAAGTAGAAGGGAGAAGCCTGTGTCCACAGGCTGGATTTATTTAGTGGGGACAAAAGATATATTAGGAAGGAAGTGATAGAAACAGAGCTGTGATTAGGACAGCAGGGCATGGAGGGCAGAGGGAGGATCAGAATCGAGTCCCCCAGTAATCCACTCAAGTGAGCATTTACTATGCACCTATGTATTGAGCTGGAGGGGGGATGTTTAAGGGGTATTAGTGAGGAAGATAGTCAAAGGCATCCCACCTTGTGGGGATTTACAGTCCACTGGGAAAGTAAATAATCACAAAAAATAAAATTCAAAGAATAGTAGATGGTGATAAGTACAGTATGAAAAGAAAAAAGCAGACTACGGAACAAGATGATGCAGGGTACGGCATTAATCACAGCAGTCAAGGCACCCAAAGGTGAAACGAGAGCCCCCGCCATCCCATGTTTCTGGAAGGACTCCCCACACAGAACAACCAGGGCATGTGCCATCTGAGAGAGGCAAGAGGCCCTTGTTTTCACTCAGGTATGAGCAGTCATAGAAAGGTTCCTTCCCCTCTGGTCATCCATCCTCTCAGAGGAATAGTGTTCAGCACTAGAAGGAAATGAGGTATGACATCATGAAAAGTCATGGAGGAAGAGTTGTGTGTGTGTGTGTGTGTGTGTGTGTGTGTGTATGTGTGTGTGTGTGTGTGTGTTAGTGACAGTTGTGTCTGTGTGCTGGGAGCGGAAGAGATGAGTAGCAGGGCACTCATGGTTTAGGGCAGTGAATTTTTCGTGGGTTATACTATACATGGCGGAGTCATAATATTATACATTTGTCCAAGCACACAGCATGCCACGTGGAATGTCAAAAGTGAACATTAACATAAACTGTGGATTCTGGGGGAGAAAGGCCTATTGAAGACAGCTCACCAAGGAAACAAATGTGAATGATGTTGACAATGGGAGAGGTTAAGCTTAGGGAGATAAAGGAGGTGGGAAATCCCTTTAATTTCCTCTCTGTTTTGCTATGAGCCTAAAAAGGCACAGGTTTTTAAAGAAATCTTTGTTTTAAGAACTCTCTGGGGCATGAGTAGAAAAACCATTGAGAAGGCAACCAAGAGCTCCGATTAGGGACAAGGGCAGCAAGAGGGATATGGGACAATGGGACACTGATTCCTCCTAATGACACTGTGGACAGCATTGCTAACACATGGGATGCTGGGTGTGAAGCAGACAGGAGCATCAAAGGGGAGCCCAGGGTTGCCAAGTGGAAACTAGCAAGCATCTCCGTGAGGGCTACAGCTTGTAGAAATAGAAGGCAAATATATCAGAAGTGGCAACTAAGATTTGGCCATTTATCTCCCCACTGGAAGGTCAGAGGAAGACAGATTCAGATGCACCCAGCATCGTTATGGAAAGCCAACTCCATGTTGGCATGCGCAAGGACTGAGCACTGAACACACCACAGTCCCTGACACGCATGTATTTACAAAGCACCAAAATGCTATTCATTATTATTGTTATTATTGTTGTTGTTATTATTGAAGATTTTCATAAATTAGTGAACCAATCAAATTAAATGTCAAATTGAATACAAAGCAAATGAATATGAGAGGTATGATAGGATATAAAGATTTAATATACAAGTTAATCAAGATATTATTTAGTTATATTTCATTATTAATAATATCAGGATTTATTGCTATTATTATAATGCTCTATATCCCACAGAGCATTAGATAACAGGGATCAGAGATATACTAAGGATGAGAGATGGTAGGTGCCCACCATCACAGTGATGGTGGGCTTCACAGGCGGTGTACACAGAGGGTAATTGACACATGAGGACCAAAGTATCTGTCTCTGCTTGAGGGGTTGACCAGATGGCTTTGGAGGATAGATAAGTGGTTCTGGGAGGGGCTGAGAGATCTGGTGAGCTGGAGCTCAGACTGGGGTGTAAGAAAAGGGGCAGAGGTGAAGCAGGGGCCCCAACTCTTTAGTCTAAATGATGGGCTGCTCATCGCACAAAGGCAAGGACTCAATCTGTCCTGCTCGGGTTGTCTCCGGAACTCAGCACAATACCTGGTGCTCAGATGGCTCAGGAGATACCTTTCGAGTACAGTGAGTTTTTTCCTGGGGTAGAGGGATGCTTTCCATTCAAAAGAAGCTCTGAGCTTTCTGGCAGTGGTGTCACAAGGACCTCATGACACACAGGCAGCCCTCCCCCTAGAAGGCAGGGAGGTACCCGGTGGTGATGCTCAGGGACTCTGTGGCAGGTGCAGGGTACCTGTATTTCCTGGATGCTTTCCTCCTCTCTGGCATCCACCTTCTTCTCCACTCCCTCACCACGAAGCAGGGCTTCCAGTGTGGTGCTCTCAGAGGTGAAGCCATCTTTCTTCAGGGGCAGCTCTACTTCTGTAAAACCAACATGGACAGACAGACAGGTCAGTCACCAGAAGCCGGTGAGACGTGGCGGTCTTTGGGAACACCCAGAGTTCTTAGGAAGCTCTCAAATAGCCTGTGCCATCGCCTCTCGGCAAACAGGACCATGGAACACTGGAGTTAGGTTTGGCTTCTCCACCAGTGTATAGTCCCAGAGAAGAGCTCAACCCTGCCCACGCCCTGGGGCAAACTGAGGCAGAACAGAGAGGGTGCCCTCTAGAGGTAGGATCAGACTGCCTGAGTCTCAGCCCTGCTTCTGCCACTCTGGGGGTATGACTCAGGGTAAGATGTGCAAGGAACCTGGAGCCTATTTCACCATCTACAAAGAGGAGTACCAGTGCCCAGGACCACAGGGTTTTTGAAAATGTTCAAGCACAACAGCAATGTCTGATTCCTATTGTCTTCAAAGTCTCCCTTGCCCATGCTGGCTGCACAGCTCTGCTTTGTTCCACAGAAAGCTCTCAGCCTCAGAGAGGCTTTTCATATCAACTCACAGGGCCAAGCAGGGGCCCCTAAGCAAGGGGAAAGGAAAGGCAGTAAAGTCCAAAGATGCCAGAGCAGCAGAGTAGGAGGCCATTGCCATGCCCAGAGAAAACCATACCAAGAGTTCCAGGGCTCCCAAACCTGGAGAAACCAGTAAAGTAGGACTGTAGGGCATCTTTCTACAGACATTAGGAGTTATCTTGCTGGGCCTGCGAGTCAATGTGTGCTATAGTTTGGACACAGAAACTGCCATTGCCCTCCATGCTCATGTGTTAAAAGCTTGGCTCCCAGGGAGGCACTACTAAGAGATGGAAGGACCTTTTGGAGATGGGTAGTAGTGGAAAATGTCCTTAGATCATTAGGGATAGACCCATGAACCAACCCTGGGCTCTTTCTGTTCTCTCTCTTTCTGGTAACAAGGCAAGCAGTTTGCTCCAGCTACACATGCTCCGCCGCTGACATCTGGGGAAGACCCAAAACTGGGTCTGCCTGGCTGAGGAATAGAGTCTTGAAAACTGTAAGCCAAAATAAACCATTCTCTTTGCAAGTTAATACATGAGGTATTCTCTTATACTGGGCCAGTGAAGCAAAGACAGGGCTGGAGGCAGCCTGCTTCTGAGAGAGAGAGCAAAGGGAGTTTCTAACTCTTCCTGGACGTGCTCCCCAAACCCAAAGTACTCCCCAAACTCTTGACAGAGAAGTTTAACTTTTTCTAAGAACAGAAAACAAAGATATTACATGATATTTTGGTTTACTATATAATTTTCCTTCAACCTCTCCTTGATCGCAGACCTCACCTACACACACACACACACACACCACACACACACACACACACAGATGTGTGGTCCCCATCAGCTAAGGCAGTCACAGGAACAAGCAAGTGAAATCAATCTCTCATTCATGTAGGAGATTCAAAGCTTTAAAGAAGGGTTCACGGACAGAAGTGTGAAAGGGCAAAGGGGGTCAATGGGGAACAGTGATAGAGCCAGGGCAGCCATCCTGCTGCTGCTCTAGAGAGATGGGGCAGGAGAAGGGGTCCTTGCTGAAGTCCTACACAGGAACTCAGAGCCTGGGAAACACAGGAACCAATGCATGGCCCGGTCTCCTCTCACGTTGGCCAGCTTCAAACCAGAGCCAGTGGACAATGGGCTCTGCCAATGTGGCCCACCTACGTCAGATTTTTCCTAGGCACAGAGCAGAATAAGGACAAAGGGGGTCTAGGAGGGCAAATGGATGCAGATGGCACCATCACAGCCTGCTCCTCCAGGCCCTCTCCAGACTCTATTGAAATGCCACCTGCAGCGTCCATCTCCACCAAAACACGCAGGTGACAGAAGGCCACCACTGCATCCCTAAGACTGAAGAAATATGCCTGGGAGTGGCCGGCCCCCAGGAAAGGGTGTCTGAGGTCTCTTTTGAGCACTTTTTTACAGAGAGATGCGGGAAGGGATGTATACCCATCAAGAACCATGACATGGGCCAGCAAGGTGGCTCCACGGGTAAAGATACTTGCTTCCAGGCCTAATGACCTGAGTTCAATCTCCAGAGCCCACATGGTAGAAGGAGAAAACTTTCACAAGTTGTCCTCTGACATCCACAAGTATGCCACGTCTCACACATACCCATATACTACACACACACACACACACACACACACACACACACACAAATGACATACATGTCATTTTTAAAAACACAACCATTGAATCAACCGTCAATGAAACTTTACCATCATCTATTTGACCAATTGTTATCTATTGAGCACCTGTCATGTGACAACCACTGTGCTAGAAACTAGAGGGAGGTGGCAAAATAATAGCAGAACCCTGTCTTTGGATAACTTAAAGATACAGCTACAAAATGTTATGTGTAAAATAAAGACGCAGTTATGAACTGACTCAGGTGCTGCCGAGGAAAACAGTGTGAGGCAGCTACTTCAGACTCGGGAAAGGCATGTGTGATGACATTACAGTTGAGTGTCAGAATCAACAATATGCTTCCATGAGCCCTCTGGGATGATATGCCATTATTCTCTCTCTACTCAGAAAAGTTTTCCAAATGTCTAATCCCAAATAACTAAGGTATGTTGCCTCATGCACTATCCTCAGTCAAGAAGCCCTCAAACATAATAATCTTATGTGTATATGTGAATTTATCCTTTAGCCTTCCTGACAATAAATGTGTCCAATTTCCAGAATGGTACTGTGTTTTAGGGCAGGAAAAGTCCAGTCATCTAATCCAATGCCATCTTCTTTTATAAAGGAGTCACTGTGGCTCAGAGAAGTTAAGCAACGTCACCAAGGGCCGGCAAGATAACCAGCAGATATCTTTCAAAACACGGCAAAGAATCCCGATCTGTTATAACCTTATCAGTAAATATCTAGCCCAGGCAATGCCAGGATGGTGCTTTGGTGCCCTGGGGTACATGCAAAGGACAGGGTGAAACAGAAACACCCAACATATAGAAGCTATTACTACCAGATGCCACCTAATCCCCATCACATCCAAGAGCTTGGCATGTCCCATTTTACAGATGAGGTGCTCACAGTGCAGTGCCGAAGTTTAGAGCCTGCTGCTTACAGTCTATCCCAGGACTGGAGAGGGGCAAAGTGCAGTCTTTAGCTCCATACACTCCCACCTAAATGCTCTTCCACCTGCCCCTTCTCTCGTCCAAGGAAGAGAAAAGGTTTCTTTCCAAAGTTCCATGTATTCCCGTTGCATTCCTAGACGCTCCCTGTGATTTCAGATTTCAGGATGAGAGGCATATCTCTGCTGAGGCTGAGGGCAGTTTGCAGCATAGTGCTGATCTCTTCCAGAAAACCTCAAGAGCTCTCCACCCTCCCAGGAACCAAACCCTCTCCCCAACCCATGCAGAATTTCCTATAGGCTGTGAACTTCCTCCTCCTGCAGCTTTTTCTTCCTCGCCTGCTGAAAGCCTCCATCTTGCCTCCCATCACTCACTCTACACTTGGTCCTCCTTAACTGGACTGGCTGGCATGCATAAGATAAGAATCAAGAAGTGGTGGCATGCAGTGGGTTCCTGGCATGCAAAGGGTTCCAGTGGATAGCCAGTAACACCCGGGTCCAGTCCCTTCAGGAGGAGAGCAAAGAACAGCCAGAGGAGCTTTACATCACATTGACTGAGTGGCACTCTCCCCTAATTGCCAAAACATTTTGTTGGCTCATATAGTTTCACTTTCAAACAGATCTGAAGTCAAATTCTGGTCAGTTGTTCCTGGAGCAGTTTCTTAACCTAAATATCTGTTAATGAGTTACATGGGGTGATACTGGTATGTGCCTCATAGTATTGGTATAAGGCTCAAACAAGGTAGGGGCTGGAGAGATGGCTCAATGGTTAAGAGCGCTGGCTGCTCTTACAGACCTGGGTTCGATTCCCAGCACCCACGTTGCTGCTTGCAACTGTCTGTAATCCAGCTCCAAATGATTTGACATCCTTACACAGACATACATGCAGGTAAAACAAAATGCACATAAAACAAAAATAAAGCATTAAAAAAAGGGGGAGCTGGAGAGGTGGCTCAGAGGTTAAGAGCACTGGCTGCTCTTCCAGAGGGGCTGAGTTTAGTTCCCAACAACCACAGGGTGGCTCACAACCATCTGTAATGAGATCCGGCGCCCTCTTCCGGCATGCAGGCATACATGCAGATAGAATACTATACATAATAAATAAATAAAATGTAGATAGAAAGAAAAAAAAAGAATCAAACAAGGTAGTATATATAAAGAAACTCCAAAAAGATCCACCCCCAAACTTAGTGTGAAACATTGTGGCAAATGAGACATGTTGTTTTTTTTATGTTTTATTCCATTTGAGAAACTGGGTGATACATGCAAAGAACTTGGGACAGTTTAAGCATCCTACAAATGCTATAAGTTATTATTACCAAAATTTTAATAACTGATGTTAATAGTCCAATAGAAATCCAATAAAAGCTACATGTATCACCCTAAATATTCTGGTTTCCATGTTTTTAAAAGCCAAGAAACAGATGCAATTAAGTTTCATATTTTCTCCATCCAAAATCCTACCATTCCAATATGAAACTAATATTTAAAAACGGATGTGATGTTTTACACTCTTTTAAACCGCACTGGTGTGTGTATTCCCCTTATAACACATCTAAATTCAGATGAGGGCTCCAAAGCCACATGGGGCTAGTGACTACCCCGCTGGACAGATCAGCTCTACAGCATTAAAAGAAATGCTTAGGGAGATTGTTGCTTTCCGTAAGTGGACAGAATTTAAACACGGTTTTAATGTTGCCTGCTTAATGCCCAGTGGAGTACCATTCCAAGAGCGGCATTCAGGCTGACCTCTGGCAAACCCTGTTTGCAAAGCATTGTGGGTAAGGCTTGCTTAGTAAATGAAAGGCTAACCCACCCCACCTCCAGACAACCCAGAAGAGGGTACATTCTCTGCCTTTTAACCACAGGGGGTCCCAGAGCACATCAAGGAGAAAGGTGAC